TGCTCCATTATACACCAGCTATATGTGAAATGTAAGGGGACCTGTTTCAAACATGAAATGTAATGTTAACTTAATGGTAGAAATGGCATTACATTTCTAAACATCAAAAGTCTTTAATATGGTTCCCAAGTGTTTTTATCTTAAACATCACTGGCACGTAGTGATCCTGATATCAATAAATGTCCAAGAAAGCCGAAACCATCTTCAAATTTGCCAAAGATTATAGTGCTTACCTACTTTTTTTTAAACAGAGTGCTAGGTAATAGTAATAGATGTACATATTTAAGTATTACAAAAATACCTGAAAATATAGTGGCAGGTTCTTGCCTTGTTTGTCATTGTGGGAGCAACCTAGAAACAGGTATATAAACAAGAAATTGGCAATTAATTTGCCAAAGATTATAGTACTTACCTACTTTTTTTAAACAGAGTGCTAGGTAATAGTAATAGATGTACATATTTAAGTATTACAAAAATACCTGAAAATATAGTGGCAGGTTCTTGCCTTGTTTGTCATTGCGGGAGCAACCTAGAAACAGGTATATAAACAAGAAATTGACAATTACACAATCTTATGCAAATACAGAGTTTCAAATAATACTACAGCTTTAAAAACGTGAATATATTTTGCTTAGTGTGACTAAATAACATTGCTGTTTGGCAGGATGTGTATTTCTAATTTTACATCTGAATGCATGACTATATTTGTACTCAGTGTATTCAAAATGCTTTCTGTATTCCTAATGATTCATAATTTAATCAAATAGATCTTCAGAAATTTCAGTAATTTCTTCAAATAAAGGTTACAATACCAACAGATAAAGAAACAAATGCCCAATTAATGCTCTATTAATTCATGTTTATTATTCTGCTTCCTGAAACCCTACAAACTGAAACAGTTTCTCAAATGCCTCTGGTCGAGGATAGTGCTAACCTTTGGCCCAAGAATCTCCCATGCTGCCAGAGCAAGTTGCCTATAGACAATGGCCTCATCTTCCTTGAAGATTCACCTTTGAAGTCCATTCATAAACCTTTAGCGTGCTGCCGGCGGACTCGTCCGCCGAGACTAAAATGTCTCTCACAACTGCCGGCGGACCCGTACGCCCGATTTCAAACTTTTAATAACTTTACTTTTTCGCGCCATTCGTATTGTCCAATTAGATTGCCCGATTTATTCAGTGCCTAACATGACTTCCTGTTGACCTAGAAATGGCGATATTTCGAAAAATAATTCTCAATTCATCAATTTAAACAGTGTTTTAGTCGTTTTTAGTGAACGGATCGTACAAAATGGTGGACAAATACGATCACAACGAAAATGTGGAGGAAATAGATTACGATTTCGAGCTCTTTAGGCTCTTGGAAGCCGATAACGGTCATCGAAAATAGAAACTAGAATATTTTCTGAATTGAAAAATTGAACATTCGATCGCTGCAAATTCAGATTTGGATTCTGACCAGACGAAGAGGCGGAGCGGCTGATTCCGGAGGAGTATTCATGGTATATTTATGCCCAGTCGTGTTAATGTACGAAAAAATTCATGAGAACATTTTTTTCATGAGCCAGGCCACTGTATCTTCCCTTTGTGAAAATTTTATCCAGATTCATTCAGTAGTTATTGAGATATTAATTATTTAGTCCAGGTATATCATTTTTTGCACTCTTTGAAAAATAAGCCAGTTGCGTGGGATATATTTGCTGAAATAAGGCAGCATGGTAAAGGTTAATAAGCGTCAGTCTGTTGATGCATAGCCCGTGGAACCCAGGGTTCAAAGTGATACATCTGTGAAAACCTCCCCGAGGAGCATTGCTTGATGATTTAGGCCCATCACCTCAGGGATGCTGTTACAGCATACATTCTCCTCTGGATGGTCCATAGGTTGGCAATTCCCAGATGTGCACTTGGAAGGAAATTGTAAATATTTCCCAAGTTTGAAAAATTCAGTTGCAAAATATATAGGTAATTTTTTGTATCTTCTGATCGTAAACTATGATTACCATTCATGAATATTAAAGGACCAAGAAATCGAAACAGGTTGTTACACAAAACCAATGACCCCTATTTTTCATTTCATTATAGATTTATTCAATTCAAAAAGTATACAGTAGTTACAGTAGTCGCTGCCTAGCGCACTTTGTGTTATAGGCTAGCATTTCATGTATGTGATATGTAATACATATTTTAAAACTAACTTGGACAAATACAACTGTAGGGGAAACAGGAGATCATGAAAATTCCTAACTGGTAAGAGGCATAACTGTCCATCTCATATCAAGATAATGACAAAGTAAAACAAATCAATTTTTTAACCACCCTGTATTTCAGGGGAAATGTATGTTTACATCATCATTCTAATCCAGTCATCAAAGCTAGTATGTATTGTATCATAAATTAGCTGTTGATACGGGCTTTCTATTTTAGGCAAAATTCAATATAAACAAAAAGGAAAAATCGCTTGTGTCATAACCTTGATAATTCTTCATAATACACTAAGTACAGGGTTCTGCTTGTTCAAAAATTCACACATCCATTCGTTTTTCTATTGTTTATTGCAAGGGAATTTCACTAAAATCAGCCAAAATATATCCAGAAATAAGTAATCCATGTAGTAAATATTACATCTTTTATAATTTATAATTTCCATATTTGTAAAAAAAACTCCAAGCTATTGATACTGAGCAGTCAATTGAAGTCATTGGCACACAAAAACAGGAAAATTCAAACATTAATTTATTGACCAAGTTTGCAGGATCACCCTGTATTTGAGAAGATGACCCCTTCTTCAAAAGACTTGTAGGATCATTTGTCCATTTAAACCCATTTCTCGGATATATTTTGGATCATTATTTAAAAGTTGAATGAACAGTATCAATTTTCAATGAAATACTAACAATTACTTCTAAGGCAATCAAGGCACAAGAGATTATAACAATTTTCCTTCTAAAATCTATTCCATTTAAGACAGATATGGTCATTTAAATATGTTCAAGATTTCTTAACTCAGAACTGAGGAAAAAATCATTATTCTGAATATCTACTCATTATGACACCTCAAAGAAGTAAACACATGCATAAATTATTTTGTCTGGCATTCATCTTGGTAATGGTAGACTTTTATAATCATTTACAGGTACTGACAGTTTGTCATGATGATTTTTTCATTTGTCTAATACATTGTACATGTTTCATTCTTGCCTCTTATAGACAGACAGACAGACAGAAACAATAGACTCACCTCCAATTCAGTGCTTCCATCTTTCGATATGCATTGCCTCAAAGCTTCTTTATCCTCCACCTAAAATCATTTTTTAAGAAATTAAAAGAAATCATTTTTAAATAATTAAAAAAATAATTTATTATATATCACCTACCACCTGTACCGCCATGTGTTTACCAAAGGTTTTGGGGCCTGAACTGTGTTCACAGTTCTTTGGACGAAAAATATTCCCAAACTTGCACACATTGTTATGTAATATTATATATATGTTACGTAATATTATTAATATATTTTAATAAATTTAATAACAGGCAAAACAGTTGTTTTGTTTGTCTTGTGCAACAAAGCTTTGGTAAACACATGCGTGTGATAAACATAAATATTAATCTAATTGAAGATTAGATTCTTTATGTTTACATCTAAGCAAGTACACATCAATGTCAATTTTTAGGGGAGGAGTTTGGATGAGGTTTGGTTAGTCCCAATTATTAAAATATATTAATAATATTACGTAACATATATATAATATTACATAACAATGTGTGCAAGTTTGGGAATATTTTTCGAGGGGGAGGAGGTCGGGGAATGGGTGGACTTTGTTATAAATATATATTTATTTAGTCACTGTATGCACGTTCTTTAAATATGAAAATATGAAATATAATAATCTAAAACCATCTGACTGCAGACTTTATTTAATACATGTCTACTCTTTAAATGATAGCTTGCAAGTGTTTAGCATGGTACATATCTTGGGACTAACCAAACCTCATCCAAACTCCTCCCCTAAAAATGATTGACATTGATGTGTACTTGCTTAGATGTAAACATAAAGAATCTAATCTTCAATTAGATTAATATTTATGTTTATCACACGCATGTGTTTACCAAAGCTTTGTTGCACAAGACAAACAAAACAACTGTTTTGCCTGTTATTAAATTTATTAAAATATATTAATAATATTACGTAACATATATATAATATTACATAACAATGTGTGCAAGTTTGGGAATATTTTTCGTCCAAAGAACTGTGAACACAGTTCAGGCCCCAAAACCTTTGGTAAACACATGGCGGTACAGGTGGTAGGTGAATGAGGCATATAATATATGACTAGATAGCACATGAAAGGAACAGATTAGATGTGGTCAATTTGTTCAGAACTTGCCATTCATATTTTGACATGCTTTACATAATGAGGACTTCCCTATGAAGTAGGGGCACTTAATGTTCACTTAAATAGACCAGACATGAAGAAAATAATGTGGAGATGGACCTAAATTAGTTGTTGACAAAGTGTGACCAATCTTTCAATGAACTTTAAATTGGCTGTCATACATGGCATTTCAACAGATCACTGCCACTTTATAATCCCTCGTGTGAGGCATGTACCCTACAATATAATAAGAACTACAGTACTAACTAATAGTAAATATAAAAAATATATACACATTTATACATTTTAACACAGGACAACACAATGCATAGTTATACAGGAGGTAGCACAAGCTACACCTAGTAAATATAAGTCCTTACATGTTTACATTTTTTCTCTGCTACCTTGCACAAATGCAAATGTAGCAAGATTAAGCAATGGATAAGTCACAACTGACAGCACCTAATATGATTCACCATATTTAACATAATGTTAGAAGCCAATATTAATCTTATTTGAAAGCAAGTGATGCAGAAATGCAAACATATCTTTCAAACATAATTGTCTATGTGGTATACAATATACACACACCTGTAAGGAACTCAGCGTTTTAATTTATGATGAGATATTCTTATGTATTTATTCATGGCAGCTTGAGATGACCACCTTCCCCACCTTTGGATTGTGTCTAAATCTACATTGTTGGAAATAGCATTGTTCATCCCCCCAATTCGGAAGCTATGAGTATTATAACTACTAGAATCAAACCCTGCGGCTTCTAATGACTCACTCATAACTTTGTGAACTCTGCTTCTGGTAATTTCACTGTGGTCTTCATTTCTGAATAATGGCCCATTACTAGTTCCCCTTTGCGATAAGTAACATTCCAAAGTGTGGACAGGGCAAACATCCTTCTGATTAGAAGATTGAATTTCCAGGGTAATTGGCTTTGTGGTTTTCTTGTGTTTAAAGTTGTGCAAAGTTAATGATATAGATGTTTTCCCCAATTTGACATTTTCAGAAGTGATGACGTTTGGATTCTTGCCTGGTGCACCTGTTACTTCGCCAACTCTTAGTAAAGCATGAAATGATAGTGAAAACAATGCACTGAATAAATCTTGATCATATTTGCACTCAGTGACACTTGGTAGAACACGCAACATTTCAGATAAAGTATTTATTGTAATAGCCATGCGCGTCTGCTGGGGTGGATTTATTGCCAAGGCACCTCTGATTAGTTTCCTTACCATAAAGCTATTTGCGGGGTCTGTTTTATTCAAAATTTTGTGTAGAAAAGACAGCCCTGAAACAATGGTTGCAATTGATGAACCTGCATAATTCTTTAACGACAAATCAGCAATAAAATTTGATAGATTTTGTACAGATATTGGAAACATTTGACCAGTGTATTCATTTTTTAGATGAAATGCTGAATATTTATCCCATGCTCTTGCATAACTCTCTCTTGTTTTGGTAGCTATAGAAGATGACAGTAGGTCAACTATTCTATTTCGCAACAAATTGGAACTGGCGTTTCTGGGCGAGAGTCCAACCAGGGTGCTATTTCTTTGATGTTCCCCTGAAACGATCGAGATATTTTGTCAGCAATTAAATTTTGTTTACTTGGTATGTACTCGGCCTTAAACCATATGTTATGATTCATACAGTCCAATACAATTTGTCTCAATAGTTGCATAGTTATTTTATTTTTGGATGTTTTATTAGTTAGGGATGCACATATCACTTGATTATCGCACATAAACAATATCTTGTGGTTTTTAAGAAGTTTACCCCATGTAGCGATTGCTAGAGCAATAGGATAGATCTCTTTACTGGATATGTCATAGTTTTGATTACTGTCATTCCAAGGAACAAAGAACCATTTTGAGCCCAACACTGCTGCTGCCCCATGAGTCCCACTTGCATCAGTATACAAACGGATCACTTCTGACGACATCCAATCTTTGTGCATAAACACTGATACACCATTCCACTTGTGCAGGAATAAATACCAAGTATTCAAATCGCTTCTTGCGGATTTAGTCAGTTTTATTCTTGAATTTGATTTGTGGGTTCTAGAATGATCGCTGCTAAGTAAATCATAAAGCCTACGGGTGAATGCACGACCACTGGGTATTACTCTTGAGGCAAAATTCAATGAACCAAGCAAGGATTCCAATTGTTTAGCAGAAATAAACTTACTCCTTTTGAAATGCCCTACATCCTTGACCAACTGAGTTAACTTGTCCTGAGGAAGTCTTGCCTGTTGTTTATTACTGTCAATCTCAATGCCATAGACAGTCAAAACTTCTGTTGGATTATATGTCTTCTCAATTTTTATTGGGATATTTAGCCTTGACGACACCGTCAAGAAAGTGTTTAAACTCTCCTGACATTCCGTAGTATTTGCCTTACCAACAAAAACAAAATCATCCAACAGATGAGACTGTTTAGTGACCCCTGCTGCCGAAGTTATATGTTTGGATATTATCTGCAACATCTTAGAAATCATTGAAGTAATTAATGAGATATTGGAAATAGTATGCATAATGGAACATGCAACCTGCAAGCTCCCCCAAATCCGTTGCATTTAAAATCATGTAGTTCGCTGACATATTATATCATGCAGCCTCCAAATATAAAACGATATCGATACAAGAGAGAGAGTTATTCAAAGTAGCCAACAATGAATATAATAATATAATTTGCTAACATAGTATACATGCCGCCTCCTAATAACCCAATATACGAATATAGATAGAGTAGTTAGCCACCAATAAATTAATGGAATTCGCTGACATATTATTGCATGCAGCCTCCAAAGATATCAAAATAAAAATAACGAGCGTAAGCCGCCAGAATTAAAATATGGAATTCGCTAACATATTATACATGCCGCCTCCATATAACATATTGTACAAATAAATAGAGAGTAATTAGCCACGAATCGAATAATAGAATTCGCTGACATCATATTATTGCATGCAGCCTCCATAAATGCAAAAAACAAACTCCAGCGTAAGACGCCAGGACTTAAATCATGGAATTCGCTAACATAGTATATCATGCCGCCTCCATAAAAAATCCATATACGAATATAGAGATAAGGTAACAATTAAAAATGGAATTCGCTGACATATTATTACATGCAGCCTCCAAATATATCGAACTATATAACACGCGAGCGTAAGCCGCCTGAAATAAATATGGAATTCGCTGACATATTATTGCATGCAGCCTCCATACTACAAATCTTGTGCGAAAGCCGCCAGAAATGAATATGGAATTTGCTAACATATTATACATGCCGCCTCCATATAACACAATGTATCTAACCAAATATTATAGAGAGAGTAATTAGCAACCAATTGAATAATGGAATTCGCTGACATATTTTTGCATGCAGCCTCCCTACTATAAATCATTTGCGTAAACCGTCCGAAATAAAATATGGAAATCGCTAACATATTATACATGCCGCCTCCATAAGCATAATACTTATACGTATAGAATGATGAGCCGCCAATTAATTTACGAAATTGACTGAAATGTTATAACAAACAACCTCCATAGCGAGCCATCGATCACCTTTAAAGCTTACCAAACAATCCTGGAAACTGAAACCCAGATTCGTTCTATGCTCAAATTTCGAGGAGTATTTCTGAAGTTGACTTACTATAGGGAGTGACAAAAAATCAGAACCTCGACTGTCATCGATTACAACACACCATAATATATAGTTCTAAATAACTAGAATTTGCTCACCCTTAGGATGTACTGGTAATAGTGCGTAGTGCCGATGCCCGTCTCGTAGACAACGCTGCCGTAGGTTCACTATATCGATCGATTCTGTCAAATCTTAGTATGGTCCTATTCGGGTAAAATGTTCTGGTATGCCTAATCGGTAAACAGTTTTTGAATATTTTCGAACAATGTCCTAACTAGTCACAATCGGTTGCAATAATTGTTCAATAATTTTCGAACAATGCAGTATATAAATAACTCCTGTATTCTTCAATGTCAAGTAATGACCAGAGAAAGAAACGTATAATAAATACTAATGTTCTTTCACATAAATTTAATATACCAAGTAAATTAAGTCTGTAGGTATATAAACTTCTATAATCCACTGTAAATTGGATAATCAGATATTTTATAGTATAATAAGATACATGTAGATTCTCCAAATCCAGAGAAATGAATACAGAAATAGTGAAGTGTTGGACCTAAACCACATGCGGATTAAGTCTTTGTGATTGGTCAACTCTGGCCAGCCCCCTTGTCAGCTAAGAAATGAATTATCATTATAGACCACTCTGTTCTGCAACACAAAATAACTAATCTCATGATTAGCTTTTATTTATTAATTGGAAATGATACAAAATGTCTCAAATGTAAATGTACCACAACTCAAAGTAAGCTATGGACAATTCCTGGATTATCAACTCTACTTGGCACTATTTACTCTGATGAAAAAACTTCATTTTACAAAGTATTGTCCAAACAAACATTAAGTGAGTGATTACTATAGCTCATCATGCAGTGTTCTCCCTAAAACTTTTAATAAGGGCTACCACCACTTGAACTATTTACAGCACCAAGACTTTACCAAAAATTACACCAATACCTCCACTCAACGAAATATAAAACTAGAAAACAGCAACTCCAGGGGGTAAAAAAATCCCACCGAACAAAACATGTTTCGATAAATAGCGGTCATCTTAATAATTTCTTCTTGAACAGAGCTCCTTTGCCCCTAGGTATCAATCAGCATATAAAATTTGCCACATTTTAAAAGAGAAACCATCTCAATTGTCATGTAGGATTTTGAACTAGAGCTGAAAAACAGATTTTTTTTGTGATAAAATTTTTTTTAAGAATTTTGGACTTACATAACTGTTAACTTATATTAATGTACCCCTCAACACTGACCCTTCGTTTTTTTGGGGCTCCCAGCTGCCTCTCCTAGCGTTACCACCTCAGCTTTAAAGAAACTATCTAGTCTTTCTTTTGCTACTGGAAATTTTGCACTTTGAAAGACCTGAAACAAGATACAGTAAACATATAATTAAAACACAAAGAAATAAAATATAAAACAAGACATTAACATGACCAACACAGTCCATTAGATTCTTACTAAAGGTTCATCAAATGCAGGTATATGTTGTAAAAGAGCAATTGGAATTTTCTGGACAGGTTTCCCTACCATTTGACTTGTAGGACAAGACCTATGGCTACAATACTCCTAAAGGACCTGCCATGGGAGAATCATGAGCCAAACTCAAGATTTCTTTATGATATGATTTTGGGACAACGATTTATTGTACAATTGCCCAATCATCTTCAGGGGAAACTTCAGGAGGTTTCCATTTCCAACTTAATTATGTCATTCTTTTTGTAGTAACTAACTGAGACCTTATCTCCTTCCTCAGTAGTAAGGCATCTTTTATGAAGATCAGTGAGGAAATGATCTTGCTCTTGTTCATAAATCAACATGTGTTTAGAATGAAGATCATTTTTAAAAGAATCACTATCACTTGTTCAATTGATTGAGCATGGATTGACTGGAGAAGCTTTGCAATCCATGTTGGTGTGTGTAAGAGACCAGAGAGGTGGCCACATGAGGCATGTGTTGTAAAGAGCTGTAATTTTTGACTCCATAAGCATATTATCATCAACTTTTCACAACAAAATTCAATCACATTGAATGAACTAAATAATTTTGAAATTTTAAGGCAAAATATGCAAGATTGGCTAAGTTAATCAACTTTCCTTTGTTTATGTTTTTTGGATACCCTGTACATGAAAAAGTTAAGTAAATTGAGGCCACAGGAAAGGGGGTCTTATAGCAAATGTTTTCAATATTTTGATTTTTTACTATCAACAAAAGTTATAAAAAGTGCCACTACTATTGACAAACAGACAGACAAACTGATTGAGCTACATGTTATAATATCCAGAAAGCTTACCTAGTTCTTCGAAAATGTACATTTTTTGGACCAAGGAACTCAATACCAACTATAGAAACATCATTTATTGAGTGCCCTTTGCTAAAATGATTGGGGACTACCTCATCTTTGTTATGACGTATTTGCGACAGATTATTACTAAATCTAGTATATAGAGATGTCCCTGTTTCACCCACATATTTAATTTCTTTACATTTTTTACATTTTATACCATATACAACATTCTCTGTTTTACAATTAATATGACCCCTAGTACTATATACAGATCCACATTTCCCCATAAAACTATCAGATTCATTAACATACTTACAAAGGTATTTCTGATTAATTCACATTCATTTTAAATGAAGAGTTAACAGACAATTACCTTAGCCTGTTTGTGAAGATAGATGGTTCCAACACAAACATCTGGTGCAATGGCTCTAACATCAGCGTTTTGTCACAAACTTATCTTTTTTCATCTTGTGT